TCTGAGAAATAACTGAAATGCATACGTGTAAGAGACGTACACATTTAAGAGAATGGTGGCTATTTAGCAGTTGGAAAAGTAAATGAACAGACTGAAAGTTTAAAAAAAAATGTACCTCGCTCTGATAACTTAAAAATAACACCGCCTTATGAGTGGGAAGAATTCTGTTAGAAATAACAAATGCTACAGAATACAATGAAAGTTAAGTTACCAAACACTCAGCATTCAGCAAAAAAATATATAACGCTTTTAAAAAAAGATCAGGACCAGAAAAACAAGTTTTATGGACTCGTATCCGAATATTTAAACAAGCAACCTGTTCAAGCTTCATTTTCATATACAGTACTCAGACCATATTTGGTTGTCTTTTTTCCTGATGTCTTGCATGCAAGGAAATAAAATAAAAAATTGTATTTTTGGAGAAAAGTAAGCCCAAGCCCTAAACCTAACACAACTGCCCAAAAAATCCTAAAAAATAAAATAAAAGGGACAGTCACAAGAAACAGGATAGCCACTACAACTTTTCAAATGCACCATTCAAGTCTCCTTTAACAAGAAAAAATAGCGGGTAAATATTAAAAAAATACTTCTTTAAGAGACATACTACAGAGGCACATGGACAGAGAGAGAAAGACTGGGAGAGGTGGAGAGCGTTGGCTAAAACAATATTGCAGAACAGTTCCCTCAGAGATTACAACAAAACAACAACACCAACAACACAAAAATGCAACTGAAATCTCCAACCAATTGGCCTGGTCTGAAGGCAAGCAAACACTACTCAAAACTGGATTGTACCCTTGGAGCATGTGGGTAACCAGATACTGTTAGTTGTTAGAACTGATGCAGATACATGCAAGGCATATACAAATAAGGCACTGTTGCGAGACTTCAAGACGCTCAGGGAAGCAGGAAGGTAACAGGAGTCTGTCTGACCTGCTCAGCACCATGAGCATGCAAAGTCTTGGACTTTGGTGAAAAGAAAAAGGAGGAACGGGTTGCAGAAAAGAAAGCTCACATGACATTGCAATACTAAAATCAGGACCAACACAATCATCGTTTCATTGCCACTACAGTCAACTGATTTGAAAGTACAAAACAAAGGTTATGAGTGACAAAGAGATACTGAAACCATTCCAAGAGCATAAGAAGAAAGCATTGGAATTTAAGCTGCATTACAGGTATGATTCACAGTGATAACCTAACATCTCATCTATAGGCTACAGCCTATATTATTATTTCCAAAGACAAAAGGGTGGGAAAGGATGGACATATGAAGACGAAAAGGAA